AGAGAGAGAGAGAGAGAGAGAGAGAGAGAGAGAGCGAGCAGTAGCACTGAATTCTTGTCTATAGCGAATGGAGGTCGGTTTACCTTTCTTTTCTGCAGTTTCTCGACTATGTTCTCCAGTAGTAATCCTATAATATTCTTCCTCTTCTGCACATAATTTCTTGTTTTTCTAGAATCATATACAGTCTATGGTATAGAAATAGAAAAAAAAAAGATTCTTGTCTATTTTCTATTATAATCAATGATGTGTTAATCTTATCTTGCTGTTTTCTTATTATTAACTACCTACTTTGAAAGAATCTACAAATAATGCATATGTAAATCCAATTTTCCAAACGTTGAGAAAAGAAGGAAGGAGGAGAAGAATAGGAAGAAGGCGAAGAAGGCGAAGAAGGAAGAAGAAGGAAGAAGAAGGAGAGGAATAAGAAGAAGAAGGAAGAAGGAGAGGAATAAGAAGAAGAAGGAAGAAGAAGGAGAGGAATAAGAAGAAGGAAGAAGAAGGAGAGGAATAAGAGGAATAAGAAGACGACGACGAAGAAGAAGGATGCTCACCTGGCGAGTGATAAGTGGAACCGAAGACAACACAATGGCCACCACACATGCCATGTACGCTGGCAAAGGAGCGCTGTATCGTGTGCACAAACCGGTCAGAAATGCGCAAACTGCGATGGCAGTCATACATGCAACTGCCTCCCACCACTTTTCCTGGTTCTTGTTTGAAGCTCCACCGCAGCTCGAGATGTACGTTTGCATATCAGGACAAACCCTTAAGGACGTCATCAAGTGCGGCTTAACATCAACACATATCCTCATCACCACGACACAGCAGCACACTGTCCCGTAACTCAGCTGCATTGACAATTATATAGCATGTACAGATGCATAACACAAGCAGGATCATCACAATCACAAACAAACAAACAAACAAACAAACAAACAAACAGACAGACAGTTCGAGATGTACGTTTGCATGTCAGGACAGTCCTTCAAGGATATCATCGCATACCGCTTCACACCAACACGCACGTCCTCATCGCCACAATGGATAGCGAACTCACATGGCCCCCCTACCAGATTTCTAGATCAAATGGACTTGTCATCAGAAGCCAGAACATCAATGGAGTAAGGAGCATAGCAACTACAGGCGAACAAACTGAATGACATACTCCAGGGACTGAAGAAAGACAAATGCTAAGTTCGTATACATATACTAATCCAGGAAACTCACCTCAAGAGCATCATAGATCATGCATGACAAGATCTTCCTCTTTCTCAAGAGGAAGCTAGTTACTTACACTGGAAAGGTTGGCACAACTCTGGCATCCGGCATATATAGTTTACTTGTTGAACCCCCAGCTGGTTTTCTTTTCCGTTCAAAAAAAAAAAAAAAAAAAGTTAAACCCCACAATGAGGAGGAGGATCCAATATGGCAAGTTGAATCCCCAAAGTTCAAACCAGTGACATGCTCGTCAACCCGACCGCAGGAGAGAGGACAACCAACTACGAGGTTGCGTACAGTCTCTCAAAAAGTGCCGCAGTAAACCACAGTCGGTTGTAACATGTCCAGACTCCAGAGCAATGGAGCAGCCATCGTTCTATCCTAGCAAGATTGATTTAGAGGACTGGAATTCAAAGGCCAGATCTGACAGTCAATCCNCCCAATGGAAAGCGGAGCAATGGAGCAGCCATCGTTCTATCCTAGCAAGATTGATTTAGAGGACTGGAATTCAAAGGCCAGATCTGACACTCAATCCTCCCAATGGAAAGCGGAGCAATGGAGCAGCCATCGTTCTATCCTAGCAAGACTGATTTAGACTGGAATTCAAAGGCCAGATCTGACAGTCAATCCTCCCAATGGAAATTAATCAATGCTGATCACATGGGTGTGTTAGCCTCAACGGACGGAAGCATGAGGGGTTTCTACTGTATGTAATTTTCGGACTCGCCGGTGGAAAGTAAGCAGAGCAGACTGAAAATAGAGCGGACACAGGACTATAAGGTCCATGTAATTTTCGGACTCGCTGGTGGAAAGTAAGCAGACTGAAAATAGAGCGGACTCAGGACTATAAGGTCCTGTAAATCCTGTTTTAACTTTTAAAAACATATATGAATAAAGGAGAACTAGAGTAGGGAAAAGAAGGGAAAAAAAGAGGGGAGCCGAGGGGGGGGGAAAGTGCAGGAGGGAAAACGAAAATGCTTTCAGCATTTCAGGTTCTTTGATGTTGCTAACACAGTAGCTAAAAAAATCAACTGTTCTCGAAGTACACGTAGAAAACAGCAAAATGCTTCTGTCTCCACAGTGAAAGGACCAGGCTGGCTGGGCCAGGCCCAATGGGCCTGGTCCTTGTCCCAGCTTTCTTAACCGAAAGCTTCCATTTCGAGCGGAGTCCTTTTTGAAAACTTAAAAAATCCTTTTCCCTCTGATTTGGGCTGATCTTCCCTTGTGAAGTCCCAGCTTTCTTAACAGAAAGCTTCCATTTCAAGGCGAAGTCCTTTTTGAAAACTTCTAAAAAGTTAATTTTCCCACTGATTAGGGCTGATCTTCCCTTCTATTATTTCTGATTCACATAAAGGACCTGTTTTACTTGCTTTTCAGAAAAAAATGCAATGAACCTCTCAGTTCACCACCAATGAGCACACACAATCACACACCATGCACGAATGAGTTCACACAAAGTTCACACAAAGTTCACACAAAGTTCACACAAAGTTCACACAAAGTTCACACAAAGTTCACACTGGAGGCCAGAGAGGTGAAGACCAGGTAAGCGCAGTTTTATAATCTCCAACAGATTATCATATGGGCAATTAAGAGTTCCAGTCACCAAGCGCTTAACAGCGCAAACCCAAGTAACCACTGACCAGTATCTCCACTCAGGTAAGTACCTCTCTCAATGCTCTGCTCTCTTCTCTCTGGGTCGTCTCTCCGTCTAGTACCTCCCTGTGTCTTCTCTCCCTACTTGCATGCACTCACACCTTCTACTACTCAAGGACCAACTCTGAATACACCCACAGCTAACACTACTACTCTCCTGAGATCTACTACCATCTACTAAGCACTGGCGCAGCTATGGCTGCCTTCCCTCTGCCAGCGCTGGACAGCTATGGCTGCTCCCTCTCTCTTCCTCTACTAGCGCAGCTCCCTGGCTCAGCGCTCAGCTCCTCACAATAGCGCACAAGTGCACCAGCACTTACACACTTCATGCGAACGAGCAATCTCCCCCAAATGAGGAGGCTGGCCAGTTCTTATATTGTCTTCGACCGAGCTTCAACTCGTGCCAGCCTCTCCTTCTTGGGGCTTGACTTGGTTCCGGTACCACATACTCGCGGCCTGCTTGCTTTGGAATGTCAAGGCCGGGTGGTACCTTTCCCGGATTTTCATTGGTGTGCTGCTGCTTGGGCCTGTGCGTCGCGACTTTTCGATTGTGGCACATGACTTTTGACTGTGGTTTGTGACTCTTGCCTCTGCAACACGACTTTTCATTATGAGACGTGACTTTTGCCCCTGGGATGTGACTGTTCATCGGGTGCCTGTTGGATTTGACCCCTAAGGTACCCGACTGTGACTTCTCTGAAACTGACCGACCTGGCCTTTCTTGGCTTAGGACCTTGGCCCTGAAATTCGAATTTGGGGTCTGACTCGTGGAAGGCCTTTCAAAAAAAGAAAAAAAGGGGGTTCAAAAGAGAGGTCAGTGGTTGTCATCAACATGCACACTCACCAGAACACCAACCGAAAGCAGGCGTGAGAGTCGGCCGATGTCGAACAGCAGTGCCATGACACCTGACACGACCCCAACCCAGATTTGAGCAATCACCGGTATTTTACGTTCCCTGCTTAATATGGCAAAGAACTTCGGGAGAAGGCCATCTCTGCCGATGCCCAAGTATAGTCTAGACTGCGCAACACAAAATGAAACAAAGACACACACACAAGATGAGAGCAAAATGTCAGATGGTCAAAACACGGGGGGAAGGGAGGGGGGAGGGAGGGAAAAAAGGGGGGGAGGGGAGGGAGTTGGAGGGGAGTAGGGGGGAAAGAAGCACACCCTCCTAATCTAGATAAGCAGCCACAGCAATAGAGATGGTGCAGGTTTTCTAGGCCCTATGTCTTCACGTGCCCCGTCATTATTGATGTATCTGGTGCAATGTTCAGTCTAAACACGGTAACAACGACCTTAGGGTGAAGATGGTAGGGCTCATACGTTGCGGGGGAAGTCCTTTGGATCTTGACCCTCGAGGGTTTTAGGCATCACCTATAGGACAGATATCACTATCAGTGACCATCCCCTACCCTGCGCATGATTTATGCGCATGCTATCCAAAGTTGCGGCGCATTCCGTGCGCGGGACTGCGGCGCATGCAACGCAGAGCGCACGTGCGTGCACGTGATGCGACGCATCACCAAAAAAAAGAAAAAAGAAAAAAATTGAAAGGACAGGGTGGGGTGGCCAAACATGCCCCTCACACCTAAAAATCAGAAAGTAAGAGGGAAAAAAGTCGGGGCCACGCCATACCCCAAAACTGTGGGCACACGTCTATGTGTGTGGGTGTGCATATCCTAATTGTGTCCAGTCTGTTTTCTGAAGGGCCCCTACAGCGAATTAGCGAGGACCCCACGTGGAGCAGAGATAGACTTTAGACTTCCAGTTTGTATGCATGGGCCAATAATATATAGTCTGGATTCGAATACATGCCCGGGTGCCCGGCCGGGCATGACCCCCGGGCAGGGTTCCAGGTAGCCCCAACGCAAAAAAAAAACGAAAGTAAAAAAATTCCAGAAAAAAACAATATGTTGTGTAGAATTGCAATACGAACCACTTTAGGCTGAGGGTCACATCAGAATTCCTCACCGAATCGGAGATTAAAAAGAAAGTAACAAAATCACACTAAAGGACCCCCCTTTAACCCCTCTTAGCCCCGTTAAAAACAATTTGTACCCCCCTTTCCCCCCCTTGACAGCCAACTATCAAAAAATGAAACGAGCCCGGATTTGGGGTCCTCTGGGAGAGCGCAGAAAAGCAATTTTTTTTTTTTTTCCTTTTTTCTTTTTTTTTTTTGCACGCCCGGGTACCCTGGGCGTCACTCCCAGGTGCCCGGCCGGGCATGAAAAACTTCCTAGCTTTTTTCTCGTTTTACTTTTCTTAGGAATACATGCAGTGGCCCTAAGCGCCTCTACTCACCACACGCACAAAAGACAAACATATGGCGGCGTATTATTCCACGTTCTAGCAGAAGATTCATTCTCATTTTGCACATTTGGTGGTTAGTGCAGCCAAGCCCTGAGAATCACATGCAGAGACCAACAGGGCCTAGCTAAGTCAGCAACCCGTAACTGCTGAAACACAGAACTGAATTTGAATCCCGAGTGCATTATCGGCCAGCTCGTGCTTCGCTTCATATTCACTGCCTGCCTCAATTTTGGTGAAGATCTGCAAATTGCTGTGAGGACCCTTCAGATTACCTGCATGGGCCTTCTGGTACGTGTGAAGGGATCCGTGGCTCTCTCTCTCTCTCTCTCC